CTGGATTCTGCGAGGGATTCAGTTGCATGGAACAGATCCTGACGGTTTCGAGGGTCATACAAGTCTGCCGGGATTCAGTTGCATGGAACAGATCCTGACGGTTTCGAGGGTCATAGAAGTCCGACTGCCTCTCGTCCCAACCTTTGTCGGCTACGAGAAAGCCTTTGACAGCGTTGAAACCAACGCCATCCTGTCCGCGCTAGTCGATCAAGGAGTGGACCCAGCTTACGTGAGGACGTTAGCCGACTGTTACAAGGACTGTACAACGACGATGCAGCTGTTCCATCGCCCCCTGAACATCTTAATTGGGAAGGGGTCCGATGATAAGGCCACACAATTTCGCCGAAGCTGTTCACCGCGGCCTTGCAGTGGGTGATGAAGTCACTGGACTGGGACGAGAGAGGCGTACGAATTGGTGGGAAATTCCTGTCCAACCTTCGTTTTGCGGGCGACATCGTTCTCTTCTCAAGCAGTATTACTGGAGCAGAGACGACGCTGAGAAAACTGAACGAAGTGGGGAAGAAGATCGGGTTGCGAATAGATCGGAAGAAGACTCAGTTCATGAAGAACGCTCTTTGCGAAGATGCAAAGATGGAATTGAAAGGCAGCCCTGTTATTGAGATGCCTTCTTACGTGTATCTCGGACGTTCAATGAACATGAAGAACGACTTGAGGGAAGAACTTAACGGGAGAAGAAGAGCAGCCTGGGCCGTCTTCAGGTCTCTAAAGGAAGCCACCGACCAACTGACCGACCCGGAGCTTCGCGCCTACCTGTTCGACTCAACCGTTCTCCCAGCGCTCTGCTACGCAGCTGAGACTTGGGCCGACACTGCAGGCACGTCGAAAGCTTTACGGACCATCCACAGAGCGCTCGAGCGCAGTCTTCTGAAGATGACCCGACACAAGCAGCATCTAGTCGGACTTCGCAGCACGGATATGAGAAGAATGTCCCGTCTTCGTGACCCAGCGGAATACGTTGCGAAAGCGAAACACCGATGGGCCGGTCATATAATAAGAAGAACGGACGATAGATGGACACTAAGAACATCTGAGTGGATTCCTCGCGAAGCCAAACGTCCTCGAGGAAGACCTCCAACGAGATGGGCAGACGTGTTCGTTTGGACCAGCTGAGAAATTAGCTGGATACGATTTCCGCACCTGGAACTTGTGGACGCAGCCACCGACGGCAAAAGAGAAGATCGTGGAGTCGTGAAGTCTGAAGCGAGGGACAGGGGCAAATGGCAACTTTTGTGCTGGGGCCCGCACGCCACGTGAAGGCGGGCCATCTAAGTACCTAAGTAGGTAAGTTTACCCTAGATTGACATCAGTATTTTGCTCAAATAAACCCTCATAACTCCTCATCCTATAATGTTCCGCAAATGGAAAAAGCAAATCTGGGTCGGTAGTAAACCTGTCGAAACGCGCAGCTCAAGAGTTAACTCTGAGTTAACTCTGAGTTAACACATACCTTTCGGAGACCATTAACACCTGCATAAGCAAACCAAATTGGGGAAAGGGTGATATGACAGGATGCCCCACAAGACGTACTTTATGCCAAGAATGGAAGCGTGGCATAACTCGTTCCTCGCAAGACGCTACGCGACGAAACGCGCAGATGGGCTGCGCGTTAACTCTGAGTTTGGCACGCGTTTCAGGCTCGCGCGAAGCTCGGAGTTAACTCCGTGTTTGGTTAGAGAAAAGGAAATAGTGTGCAAACGCGGAAGTGCAGCTAAAAAGTCCTCCGAGGTACATTTTGCTCCGAGTTTCACCAAGATGGGAGTACCCCATGATGGGGGTATCATGGTGCACCGTTGAACACAAAAATTTGAAATTTTGTAAAATTTTGGTCCCGGGAGTTTCCGGACGTGCTGATCACGAATCCGATGCTCATTCTTCGCCTTTCGCCCACATAACGAGGTTAATAGGTAGTTGGGAAAAGTCGCGAAATTGGCTGAAACTCGGTACAGTGGGGTTTTTTGGCACGCTGATTACGACTATGACGTTCATTTTTTACCATTGCCCACATAACGAGGTTACGGTAGGGATACGATAGTTGGGCGAAAATCACGAAATTGGCTGAAACTTGATCTGGCGGGGTTATTCGCTGAGCTAATTCGGATATGATTATCATTTTTCACCGCGGAGATAGGGCAGGGTTACGGCAAGAATTTGGTGAAATCCAAAGTCACATAACAGATTCAAAATTGGTTCGCTCAGTAGCTTACGCGGTGTGTTGATTACGATCACATTGCGCGTTTTTCTACAGCGGTGTATAGCTGAGAAGGGGTACTGTAGACTACCCAAAATCACAAGACTTCATTAAAGTTGGCTTCGTGGGGTAATTCCGCACGTATCACGAATATCATAGCCGCTTGAAAATACCTTTCTAAAAGGGGTTTCGATGTATTTACGAGGAGATTGATGAAAAAAATCTCGCTGAGAACTTTTTTCAAAGGAAGTTTAGTTAAATATTTAGTTACCAGTAACAAGCGCAGGATTTCCGTCCGGGGGGGGGGGGGAGAGGGCTACTAAATTTTTCAAGTAAAGGTGCGTGGCATTGGTCACGCACTCAGACAATTTTTTTGGGCTGCTTCTTAACATTTTTTGCTGGCCCATACCCCTAAATTCTGGGAAAGGGGGCGTGTCAGCAGCCACACCCCCAAAAAAATTCTTATAAGGCTAATTCAAATTTTTAAAAAATTTTAAAAAATAATTTGGTACTTTTCCGTTATTCGGACCCATTTTTTCAAAAAAGGATATTGCTTTTTTTCTTGTACCATATTTGGTCCCAAATTCACAAATGGAATGACTTCTGCCACTTGTCAGAAAATTTTGACATGTCATCTACATGTTTAGCAGGTTTTACCAAGGTTTTGTTTTGCACTGCCTAACGATGTTTATTTCAATCTGTATTTAAGTCAATAATGACCCCACTTTCTAGTAAAGAATTTGAGAAACGAACACTGTTATGATAGTAACGTTATTCTGTTATCACGAGCAGATTAGATTTGCCCAGAATAGAGAAGTGCGCTATTTCCATTATTCAAGCGGAGAAACAAGCAGCAGCGAAATACCGCAGGCATTATTTATATTTATAGTCATTATTTATAGTCTGTCCTGACTAAATTCGCATGGCGGAAAGTTTGAAGAGGAAGGCAAGACTGAATTATTGCTAAAAGCAATAAAGATGTCCTGCGATAAGTGCTGGACAGTTTTGCTTTTATAGAAAACAGTTGAAAGGCTTTTAATTGGCAAACGCTTTTTTACCTCACAGGGAATGATTTCAAAAAAAAAAACCAAGTCGAAATGGACTAAAACGTGTCAAATTTTTTCTGACACGTAGCGTTGAGGCAGTCTTCGTAAAATCTACAAAAATTATTTTTCAACTAAAACATATGTTATGAGAGCCTTTTGAAAAAATGGGTGCGGATAACGAAAAAGCGATAAATTTATTATTTCCAAAAACGAACAAGTCATTTGCACATTTTTATAACCCAGAAAGTGAATTTCAAAAATTTCGTCACCCATTCTCGGGGGGAGGGAGAGCCTCCCTTTCGGTCCGCCACTGTTAGATACTTACTATTTCTTTTCTACTGCAAGACTATGCGATGGGGTTACAGTAGATGTTGTGGACCAAACTTATTGAATTGCTTAAAAATTGCCACTGAGTTCATTTAGTGCAATCATGAACATGCTGTCCGTTTTTGATGAGGATTAATACGGTGAGCATATACGGAAGAAGAGCGAATTTCAGGTTGTTTTGAACTTTCTTAGCAAAAAAAGCAATGATAACAGGGAGCGTTTTTTAATTGTGTCAATAGAAACCTCGAAAAATTTTTTTCGAAATATCTTATATTATTTAGAGGTCTTTCGAAATTCTAACAATCGATGTACGAATGACCTGTAGACCTTGTTTACTACTACTGTTTATTACTGTTTACTAGTCTATTTTCACAAAATGATGGTCAATTTTAAGTTTACAAATCATAGATATAGCTCATTAGCAAAATTTTGGATACTAACAGACTTTTGAATTTTATCAAGTATAATAGCACATCAAAATATGGGGTGAGGGGAGGGGGACGGGTTGTTGGGTTACTGTCCATGTCCATGTTTTATCCTGCTACTTCTTTAAGAGTCTTTAGGATTTATTATGGCTAGGCACCAGTGGCGGATTGAGGGGCGGAGGGAGGGGGAAAGGGGGAGTGAAACTTACCTACATGGGCTATAAAAATGTGCAAATAACACTTGTTTATCTTTATGAATAATCAAAAAAATTTCAAATTTTTTCAAAATTCGAATTGAACTTGTAAAAAATTTTTTTCGGGGGCTTTTTTTCTAGATTATAGGGGCTATAGACCCGCAAAAATTTGAGATGCACCCTAAAAATTTTTTAGAGTGCACTTACTCCTTTGCTTGAAAATTTTTTTACTACGTTCCCCCCCCCCCCGGTGTCAAAATCCTGGGATCGCCACTGCTAGGCACCAGGCAAGCCCAACGCCTCTCCACGTGTCTTGACATGTGAAATCTTGATTACGGGGATACATTAAGCAATCGCAGCAATCCACAATAGTGGTTCTTCAGCCTAGTGGCCTAGTAGTAGGCACTTGGCGGCGAGCAATGGAAGTTCGAGTCCCAACTCAGTCACAGCGTTTTGCGATGAAGCGTGTGGTGGCTTCTCAACAACTAGAGCGGAGCCTCAAGTAGCAGAACGAAACTCCGAGTTTCAGAAACGAAACTCGCAGTTAACTCTGAGTTTCAAAACGAAACTCAGAGTCAACTCTGAGCTAACGCGCAGCTTTAAACTCGGAGTTTCGGCCAGATTACTACCGGACCAGGAATCGGCGTTCTATTTCAATATGGTATGCATTCCATCTAAAAAGGCCACTTTGACTAAACATGGTTCCCTTGTGAGCTAGTGAGAATAAGTATGACAAATGGATTATTTGCTTCAATAGCAGTTGTCTCTTGCTAACAAATCTCACGTTTTATTAAGTCCAAGATTTATGAATGTATAGCCTCAAATTACACCGCTTTGCGAGTGTCATGTCATCACCAGTACCCTGAAGATCAACATCACAACTGTTAAGGTTGAATCGATAGCTTTTCACTCACATGGAGGTCTAGGCAATCCCGGTAGTGGCAGCGGCGGTCCAAGTAATCCTCCTGGTGGCATTGGCGGTCCATGTGGCATTATATGCCAACGTGTGCGTCGCTCCACTTCTTCATACCTTCCTCCCGGAAACATTGCTGGCCCCATTCCGGGTCCGAATGGTCCATCTAGCATCGTTGGCGGCGGCGGCGGTGGCGGTACAGCCGATGGAGATCCTGGCGGTGGTAGTCCGCTTTCAAGATTGTCTCAAAGGAAAAAACTACCTTACCTTGCCCAAATGTGGAATAGGTAAGAACAACAAGTGCCGCAAACTCAAGCAACATTGACAGACTCCTAGAGAAATGTGGGATTTTGACAGTTTTTGAAAACGAATCTTTATCCAAAGTCTAGGCTAAGCAATGCTACCTTAGCCTGCAGAAGTGCTTATGTTGACGTGCAACGGCTAAAATACATTCATTACAATGCAAAAAAGGCCATCAAACATCCTCGCAGCTTTAATGTTTAAAAAATGTTCGCGTCTTGGCACTTTTATATTTTAATACTCATAGCCGATGCAATTAAAAAACCATAACATTTTTTATATTTTTATCAAACTTTTTGCCGCAGATAAAGATATATTACATTTTTAACTACAAAAGAAGCTACCTGCAGAATCAGGGTTTCAATTTTAGATGAATACAATATACATTTCTTTTCGATGGTATCAATTATCCTCAATACGCTGCTAGCAGTGGCGTACCCAGGATTTCGGCTCGGGGGGGGGGGGGGCGACAAAAATTTTTTCCTAATGAAGGTGCGTGGCGTCAGCCAAGCACTCCGAAAAAATTTCCGGGGTGCTTCTCAAAATTTTTGGGAATCCCCGACCCCTAAAATCTGGAAAAAGGGGGCGTGGCATTAGCCACGCCCCCGAAAAAAATTTTTATAAGGCTAAATTGAATTTTTAAAAAATTTTAGAAATTATTTTAATTATTTACAAGTGTAGACAAGTCATTTGCACAATTTTATAACCCATGTAAGTAACTTTCAAAAATTTCGCGACCCGTTCTCGGGGGAACGCCACTGGCTGCTAGCTGTATGCTTGTTCGCATAGTAAGTCTTGTAAACACCTTGCTCACCTCTTTCTTTTATGGACAGTACCAATGGGAAGCGGAAGAAATGTTTCGGAACCTGAATAAGTGCACGGCTTTCCGAGAAAGGAATTAAAGGAGTAGACAAAATAGCTTGTCTCATTGAGTGCCTGCTGAACCACGCATCAAGTTTTTGATGATTTTCATTTTTGAGAGTCGAAAAATTCCTGTTCATGAAGATTTCATCACAATTTTCTACCATTTTCAAAAAATCTAGTTATCCGTTCTAAAGCACATTCATTGCCCGTGGAAAAGTTGTTCCCTATTGTTTTGCGTATGACTGACACCAACTAGTCAAAGATTTTAGCACTTTCGCAGTCGCATTTTTCACAGCTTTTCGTAGTCGTCCACCAAACTGAAAGTGATGAGATTTTTATGCTATATAGTGGGGCCGCTGACTAAACAGTCACCTGTGTATCACAGAAAAAATATTCTTAGGCAAGAAAACCTCTCCAGAAAGTGTAAGCGACCACGCTGACTGCGTCCTTCAGCTCGGATGGTCTAAAGACGATATGTTCAAAACTGGCTACAATTTATCCAGAATATCCTAAATTCGCCCTTCATTATGATCATCAAATTTGCGGCTTTTCTGTCTACCCTGAAGCTTTTCGGACTTACATTTTGCAAATCTGCATTGGGCGGGACCATTGTGGCCCTTACCATTCCACCTTCTGGAGCGGCTTTTTTTGAAATCATTATTTGCAGCAAGAGTTGAGCAACTGCTTAGTTAGGGACCCCACTATGAATTAATATCGGAGTCTCATTGCCATCAATTTGAGAGCGTGCCTTTAAAGGTAGAGTCCACTCAAAATCTGCTGACCCCAAATTACAACTTATCATCCTACTAGCAGGCTCTAAAAGTAGACCAACCGCATTGGTCCGGTTCCCTAATGTTGCCTACAAAAGGAGATAACGGACCAAATCCTTTTTGCGCTCCGCCCCTTTTTGCGCTAGACCCACCCACGAATTGCTAAGTAACGTGCTCTGACGTGATAAGCAACGTCGAGACGCATAGTTTGTGATGTGGCACTTTGCACACGACGGGTTTCCTGTAGCATACGACGTGACTAACGCCGACGCACTCGTCCACGTCTGCCAAATTAGGGCTTCAGGAAGGGTCATTAAAGTTTCTGATGATTTGAACCTCATATCCCTAATCAGCGCCATGGAAAGACCCGATAACAATAAAACATTGAAGACAAAATTTTGGGTGTACGCTGCCTTTAAGAGCTGAAATTCTTGCACATGAGTTGTTGCTTGGGATTGGATAAAATTTTGATACAGCCTCAATGTGTAAGTACAAGCCAAAACGTACCCAAAAGTTTTTCATAAAACATTTTCGTTCTGCTGGTTGAGAGCTGTATTACTTCGAGTATTTGGCAGCACGGATAGACCATGAATTGCGGGGCATGCAACGCGGCTAAACGCTTGTACTTGTACTAGTACAAAGCGCCATTTTACTTTTAGATTCAATTGGCTTGGCGGATGGAAGGCGGAGCTTCGTGACCTAATTAAGGCTAAGTAGCGATCAGAGAGCGCCGGAAACGTCGTGGGTGCGAGCGGCCTCAAGTAGGTCACAAAGCCATGCCTTCCAGCAGCCAAGAAAGTTGAATCAAAGGTTACAAGTCATGCTCTTATAACGCAGCCGCGCCGCCCTTCATCGCCAACCGAAAGCCCGTGCGCTCGACGGCTTGGCGATAATTTGGACGTTGAAATAATAATTATTTTTTAGGAGGTCGGGCGAATGACCACGTTCACATGTTTCTACTTAAACTCATGATAATCAGCTTTGCTGACTTATCCACCCGAGACATTATATGATATACCAATTCCATTTCAAGCCTGAACATCATTACGAGTTTCTAGTAATCTGTCTTGGACAGATAGAGGATAAAACTACTCTTTGATTCAACGGGCTTAAGGTAAGGTAATGGTAAGAGAGCACGCGCGCGGGAGAGGCGCAGAATACGTCGCCGGCGCGAGCGGCCTCAATTGGGTCACAATGCCGGCCTTCCAGCCGCCAAGCTTGTTGAATCAAAGGTACTGCCTGCTCTTTTTTTGGTTCAATAATGATTTCAATTCGAATTCCTAATGATCAGGATGGCGTCATACTAGCCGCCAGCATGTTTTGATTTAACGAGTGGAGATTCAGTCCTTAGCACATTTGATGTGGAAAAAGTGGTCGAATCACGATCACTTGCTTTTACAGCATTTGGAATTTCCTAGAAGGGTAGACAATTTCGAAATCAGAGAACCAGTTGCTTATGATCTGAATTTTGAGAAACAAGAATGTTTATATATTGAAGTGTGAACGTCAAGTCCAATTCCAAATAACAAAATGGTAAGACTTTGATACTAGATAGCGATCAGCCTGACTGACTAGAGCGGTATGGCTGACCAAAAGTGTTTGGATCACAGAACAGAAAAAGTTTGAGGCTGTTACTTTTAAGCGCATTGTTGGGAAGCTTCGTGTCAATTCTGAATATCAAAACTAAAGTTCTATAAGAAAATTTTAAACAAAGCTCAATTCTTCATCCCACGCTATGTGGCGTTTATATGGCCGCTAGTAATGTGAAAAATGTCCAATCTATAAGTTGCAAGAAAACGCTGATTTTTAGTATTTGATTCGAATTTTTGTGAAAATATGATTTGTTAATGCGGTCCTTTCGGCATAAGGTTGTGTTAACACTACCGCTGTTTATGAAAAAATGCCCAGACCAAGTTTTGGAATGTTTCGAATTTTTTGATAGTTTATGAGGCGCTTATTCCACTGATTCTAGATATGCACAATGAAAATTTTGATAGGTTGAATTTTGAGGAAGTTATCGCAATCTTGCACTCTCAACGTGACCATGGGTTTGATCGACAATGGTAATCAATCAAAATGGGCAAAGAATATAGGGAAAGTGTGAACCTTTTGAACATTTTCTAAGGTAGTTCAAGGCGCTGAATTCCAATATCTAAAATCGACCTATTCTGCGGAGGTGAATTGTAGTAGTACTTACGACGCATGGATGTTCGAATCGCAGAATTTCACGTCTATATTGCTGGTACTGTAATTTTCACAAAGAAAGCTTTACTTGTGTTACTGCCCAAGAGCCAGATCCTAAACTTTATTTGCGGCTGAGGTCTTCACCAACTCATCGCTCATCCTTCCGAGCGTGAGCCTCAAACTGGTGTAGAAAGTACGATCTGGGCTAAAGCATGAAGTTGTATTTTTACCTCAGATAATTTATACGGGCTGTCATGTACAAATTTATTAGCTAAAGCCTTTTATAGAATTCAGCGTCTTTGAGTACAGTAGAAATTCTATTTAAGCTACAACCTAGAACCGGATTTTTAATTTAATCATTAACAATCGAATCACATTTTTGCTTGGACAACGGCTAGGTATCTCACTCAGCTACCACATAAGTATTCAACCTATTATAGATCAATTCTTTTCTAAGCCAGTGGGCATCAAATTCTGTAAAAAATAGCTCTTCTTGATGACGGCAGTCAGATGAAAATGGTATATCGTGCCCGCAGGGTCTTGACGCCGAATTTTTTTACCCGAGCTAGGATGAATGCGGCTTGAAGTTGATAGGAAGTGAATCTAATTGTAAGCAAGGAACACCAATCAGGCAAATAAAATGAAATTGAGTCTTTTGAGCGATTCCAGAACTATTTTTCGTATCTGCAGATCAGTTCTCCAGAAAAAGTTGTAAGCATTTGAATCTAAATTTTCAGCAAGATTCATTCACTTAGCTGTTCAAAAACACTTATTTGCGTTTTCGGTGGATGTGTTCCATCCGTAGAAAGCATACTCCTCACCATTTTGACTAAAGTCTCCGAAGTAAGAATCTGAAGCACATCGTTCACCAGAACCTCATGTCCTTACATATCCAACACTACACGTTTTCTTTCAAAGAATCGTTCAGCAAATGGGAAAGGTAAATCTAAAATTAGCTCAGCAAGACGCATTTAACGACACGCAATTTGTTCCAGATCGCCAGTGCGACTTTTGGGATCCGTTGTGAGAAATCAATGATGACAAATGGATCATCCTCTTTGATACCTTGTAAACAATGTGTACGATTTTATTAAGTCCACAATCTGCAAAATGTATGTCTTAAATTATTACCACTCTACAATGTCATGCCATCATTAGTAGTTTGAAAATCAACATCACACCTGTTTAATTTGAATCAGTAGCTTTTTTAAAGTCACCTGGTGTCACATAGGAGAAGTTCATGTGGTTCACCTGGTATTTCCTCACCCTCCTCAGGAGGAGGTTCTCCAAATATAATTACTTCACCCTGGAGGGCCACCCCAGGAGGAATTTTTTCAGGTGGCAAAGGCGGGAATCTATCTAGTCTACCTTTCATCGCATTTATCACTGCAGGCTTTGGCGGTACATACGGCCTTCTTCCGAATCCACCAGGCGTTCTTATTCTCATCCCATTAGACCTTCCAAAATTTGTTCCCCATATTTAGGACTGCGTGCGCTTCTTCCAATTCTTCTTCGTCCTTTCGAAAACATTCCTAGTTCGCATCATTTCCATTCCCGGTCCACCTGGTCCACGTGGCATCGTTCGCGTCTACGGTAGCGGCCTATTAGTGGAAATTTCGGGGGTGGCAGTTCGCCTGGTCTAGCTTGTATCACTCCTTGTGTTGGTGAAGCGAGAGCCTGGCCTCTGCCTCAAAAATGATATTGTAAATTTCTGAGCACTCAAATTTCTGGTCAGGTTTTGTGTTCAAAGACAAAGGAAAAAGTCTTACCTAGTCCAATGTGGAATGAATAAGAGCAATAAGTGCCACGAACTCCAGCAACACTGACAGACATTTGGAGAAATTTGGGATTTTGGCACTTTTTGAAAACAGAGGACTTTATCCAAAGTTTAGGCTAAACGATGCTACCTTAGCCTTTAGAGCTGCATATATTACCATGCAACGGCTAAAATACATTTATTACAATGCAAAAAAGGCCATCCTCCATCCTCGCAGCTTCAATTTTTGAGAAACATTCGCATCTTGGCAGTTTCATATTCGTAATACTCATAACCGATGTGAACGAAAAACCATAATATTTTTTTCAAATATTTTCATCAGGCTCTTTGCCGCAGAAAAACGATATATTACATTTTAAACCCCAAAAAAGAAAGATACCTGCAGAATCAGAAATTGATTTCTTGATGATTATAATCTACTTCTGTTTTTGATAGTATGAATAATCCCCACTACGTTGTTAGATGTGTGTTTTTTACATCAATTTGGTCTTGTAAGAATGTTTTTTATCCCACTGTTTCATGCAGAGATCGAGCGAGTGAGGTACAGGAGGATAGATTGAATCTGGAAGCTGCACGATTACATGCGTATCTAGTTTGTGGAAAAGGAAAAAAAGGATAGTAAATACAGAATGTCCCAAAAGTATGTATACACGTGATCATTATTATCACTTTTCTCAAGAAGTCTTTGCCCTACTTCCAGGCACTTTTTCAAAGCTGGCTAACTTAGATTCACAGTATGGAGTACGTAACACCGATCGCTCTGTATTTTTGCAGGATTACGGTAGAAACTTCAAGGGTTGTGGGTCATTATGGACGGAAAACTTTTATACCATGTTAATTCGAGCTGATGAAAACGAATACGAAGTCTGCACTTTACTGCACTACCTCCTTTGTAAGCTATGCCAGATGAACCGCAGTAGTTGTTCTCATAGTGTTTCTTAGAATTGTGATTCACTATTTGAAAAGCTTTACAAACTCGCCAAAAGTTGAGGAATAAACAATGCGCGTGAAGATGGTACACCACTTTTCGAATTTTCTTGTGATTTTTTTTGAAACACAACCAATCCGAAATGACGCTGTAAGCTGAAGGTTCCTGCCTAATTCTACAATAACAGTCGGTAATTCACTTCATACTGCAAATCTGAGTTGAAGCCTGCTCGACAGAATGAAACCTGAAGATTCATGGTGTTAACACATTTCCACTGGGATAGCAACGCAGTCATCATAGTATGTGTACAGCAGCATCACAGGCAACACTTGCAGCTCTAGTGAGAGGGTTCAAAAATGTCAGGCAATGTACCACACCATGAAGAGTAGCTATATAGCAGAAGTCCCACCCAACAATCGTACCGCATTGGTTGACAGCCGTTTCAAGAATCCCAAAAAGTCCCGTTTTGCCTATTTTTCATTTCAGACAAAATGTGGGAGATTCGCAAAAAAGCTCATTTCTAGCGGGATTGCAAGATAAAGTGAGAGCAACAGAAGAGAGCTCATGAACCGTGTCTTCAGTCCTCGACAGAGAAGGTTCCGAAATCCTTTTATCAAAGTTAATAGAATTTATTGTTAGTGGCAGCCTAACGTTTCGACGTGTTCGTCTTCTTCGAAAGCCTAAAGTGGTAAGAGATGCAGATATCATGCTCTACCACCAAAAACCTCCTCCACCCTCTAGCCAGCCTCGACTTTACTCTCGAAGTGTCACAATCGAATATAGGCAAGTACGTAAAAGACGAGCTAACCCCCTTCGCCGCTGCCGCTTAGATGGATGTTGAATGCGGCGTTCTCGAGTGCCACTAGTATGAAATACAGTGTATACCATATTGATATTAAACAGTGGCATTCTTGAACTCACACAGCGCCATGAAAGGCATAAGTCAATTGTGACTAAAACGAACTCATTTTGGCTATTCATGCGTGGATTTCTTGCACAAATCCAGAATGCCTCGGGAGCTTTTCTACTAGCAGTATCGTATTCGTATGCCATATAGTACATTTAACTTCGAAGTCTTTACACAATGGAATATAATCCTATGTTTACGATGTGGTAAGACATCCCTGCCTCTTGCTGGCAAGATGTTCTTCCATTCGTACCCAAATCGATCTCCGAGGCTCTCCGAAAATGGCGCTGCCTGATACATTCAAGCTCATAGATAACACCAGTCCTACCGCAATCACCAACTTTACTGGATGGCAAACTACACAGTCTCGGACTCTGCAGTAGTTGTCGTATAGTCTGTTACGAACCAGCTGCTTCCTGATGTTGTCATTGGGAATGTCAACCCGAAAAATCGTCTTTCAAGTTTGCCCTGTCAATGCATCGTCACACTGCAGCACTAGTCTCGTCAGAAACGAAGGGAAAGCAAAAAGGTATTTTCTGCTTGTGCTGATTGCTATGAGCAGAAATGGATGGTCCAATGTGTCCATTTTGGTACGCGTAACCATTCATCCAAGCAATCTCTAGCGCCCTTTTTTGAAATCCTTCCGTTCTTCTTTTTTGTGCATACATTCGTTGCTGTTTTGAGTATGTTACGAATAACAGCTCTATTAACAGCGTTTGGATGTACAGAACGAGCACTGATCAAGATGTTTTTGGAACTCTCTTTACGATACCATTTTACACTCGCTGCCGTTAAACCGTCTGATCTATAGGTTTAGATAGGGGAGCCAACCTTTTTCGGTTGCTGCCATATATGCTGTAACTGTTGATTGAGTACTCGAAAACACTCCTCCATCGGATTGTGTTGATGTTATGACGCAATAGTCGTCGGTGTAACGACAGCACACAAGAGTATACATGACAGGTTGATGCTATGACGCAACAGTTATGATGTACAAGTACTTGAACCTTCCTTTCGTTTTTGACGAAACTAGTGCTGCAGTGCACGATGCATTGACCTGGCGAACTTGAAAGACGATGTCATTTTAGTTGAGATTCCTAGTGACAACATCAGGCGGCAGGTTCGTAACAGATTATACGACAACTACTGCAGAGTCCAAGACTATGTAGTTTGCCCATTCGGTAAAGTTGGTGACTGCGGTGAGACTGGACTGGTGTTATCTAGAGATTGAATGTATCAAGTGCAGCGCCAATTACATCGAAGACACTGAGAGGCCACTTTGGGTTGGATTGAAAGAACATCTTGCCAGCAAAAGGCGGGGAATTTCTACCACACCACTTGGTATACACAGGGTTGGATTCCATTGTGGTAAAAACTTCGAAGTTGAATGTACGAAAAGCTCTCGAGGCATTCTGGTTTTTTGCAATAAAAATCTATGCATGAACAGCCGAAATGAGTGCGCGTCAATCACGAATTCCATTATGCCTTTTATGGTGAGTTGAAGAATGCCACTGTTAAATATCATTATGGTATACACTGTATTTCATACTAGTGGCACTCGAGGACGGCCGCATTCAGCGTCCATTTGAGCGGCAGCGGCGGAGGAGGTTAGTTCGTCATTCACGTACTTGAGTATTTTCGTTTGTGACATTCGGGATAAGTCAAGACTGGCTAGGGGGTGGAGGAGCTTTTTGGTGGTAGAGCATAATATCTAGATCTCTTACCACTTTAGGCCTCTGATGACGAACCCGCCATTAACAACGAACATCTACTAACCTCGATCGGCTTACCAACATACTAACACTTCTACTAACAATGCCGAGGGTTACCAAAGAGAAAAATTGAAAATTCTTCCTTTCTCTTTCAAAGGCATGAATAGTACAAGTATGAGAAAACCAAAGTACAGGCGATTTATAGCACGCAAAGACTGCGGACATATCGGCGTCTCCCTGATCGAGCGCTCTCGTTTTTCCTATCATCCGTTGTCTCTCCCACAGACGAACTATCTTGGCCGGACGCAACGGCGTGCTGTCTTTGCGCACCATAGATCGCGTATGTAATAAACTAAAAAACTTTCTTAGCAGTATCGGGTTGTTTTAAATGTTTTCAGTCATTTTTATTGGGGCCAGAATCCAAAGAATGCCGAAAGACAAGCAAAGGTATCATTCAAATCGGATTTCTTTCTTCTTTTTGATGGCTATTCTCTCCCCCCCCCCTTCCCCTAATGTGCGCCTATGTTTTCACCACGGCTCTTTGAATAGTCTAAATCTCCACTTTTGAGCTTTTGAGCTTTCCTTTAACTTGAAAATGTGCTGGTCCTGTCAGATAAAATAAACCTTTAATCACTTTATGGCCGATGCATTAACATCACCGCCGGGGAGGGGATCGCAACTTACAAAGAAAGCTTCGTATCCTGAAGCTCCAATCTTCTGGATTTCCCGCTGTTTACCCATCCGTAAGTATTCCTACCATCCTTCACTATGAACATATTGAATAGAAGCGAGAAGCTGTACAAGCCGCATTTTTTAGCCTTTTGTATGGTCTCCTGATGATCCCTGGTGGCCGACAGCCTCTTATTCAAAGTCGCTTTTCCTTCTTCGAAGTTAACGAAAACATTTCCAACTTGTACTGAAAATCTAACACAATAGTGCTAAACATGTTGCTAACAATAACAAATGAATTCTTGAAAATTTGAATTTTTTGACAAACCTAACATTCGACTTGTGGTTCATCGCAAATCTCTTGACTCCATTGCATCATTTGTTCTTATCAGCAACATGCTTAGGCCCTGGCCAGACTTCGCTCAAAAGCGCCCAAAAGCGCCCAAATTTCTCTGGTGTCTCTACACTTTCTTGTGTGAGGAGAGATGAGAGAGAGTGAGGAGAGGTTAGAGAAGTTTGGGCGCTTTTGCGCGCTTTTGGGCGAAGTCTGGCCAGGGCCTTAGCATCATTGGGCTAGATGAACGGTACAACTTTAAAATGTTTTTGCTGATTTTGAAATAAGAAAAATGACTTCGAAGAAAAGACGGTCGGCCGCCAGGGATCATCAGATCATACAAAATGCTAGAAATGCGGCTTGTACTTCTTATGCTTCTCGTTCCTGTTCAATATGTTCATAGGAAAGGATGGCAGGAATACTTGCGGATGGGTATACAGCTTGAAATCCAGATATCTGGAGCTCCAGGATTTGAAGCCTTCTTCTGAAGCCGCGATCCCCCCCCCCTCCGGGCGGGGATGTTAATGCATGCTCTTAGAGAGTAAGCCTTTGGTTATTTCAGGCTACTTTAGACTATTTTATCATTTTTTGAAGTCCGCAGTAAACGGTAATGCTTTATTTAAAAAAGCCCCGGTTTACTAGCTACACCGCGCATAGACACTCTGAAAAATTCCGAAGATCTGATTCTTTAAAGTTAATGAAATTTAATTTCTTTCAATGGAAGGCGGGTTTCAATTAGCAGTAACTTAAGTTTGGTCGCTTTCAGTTTGAGTTAGATTATCTTATCATTTTTAAAGTCGTAATCAGTAATGCTTTATTTAGGAAAAGCCCCAGATCAGAAAGCTATCGATTACCGTGGACTTCAAAAAAAGATAAGATAGTCTAAAATAAACTGAAAATAATCAAAGCTAAGTTCCTTCTTCTGTTTTTGCTGCAGTTGTAAGTTTTACCGAGAGTTGAGATTTTTGGAGAAATGATTTTGAGCAGCTCTAAACGGCAGATCGGAAGAACCTAAAAGCACTGTACTCTTTCAAAATCTCATAAAAAATTTTGAAATTTAGCTAAACTTTGAGCAGATGAACAATGAAGGCGTTGACCATTATTAAAAAGCCTGTGAAAAGTTACTGTTCATATGTATGATAATCAGAAATGGAAGAAAGGCTCATTATATGCTTCTTCGAGCTCAAATATGTCTTTATTGTGCGCTATTTTTGTAGTCGTTCAAAAAAAAACCAACAAATTCTGAAATGACCTGTAACATACGCAGGGAATAAAAAAGACATGCATTGATAGCACATCATAATGAGTGAAAAAGAAAAAAATAAGAAAAAAAATTAATTAAAAATAAATAAATAAATAAGAAAAAAGAAATAAAGAAGAAAATAATGTAGCATTTTCATCACTTTCTGTATCTGTATTTGATCTAGGCTGCAAAATCTTGATCATTACTCCGGAAATCAAACTGAAATCGGCTAAGCTGTGGTGAGAATTTTTGCACTAATACGATTTTGTCTTTATCTCAAATACATATAATCTTTTTACAGAACCCACAAAATGCAAAATGATGCAAAATGAGTTTTAGACTCACGATACAACTTAAATTCAAATTCGGAGCATTTTGAGAACTGCGAAGCCTTTTTTGATGCACTAAGATGATATAGCTTTACTACATAGCAGTGCTGAGTCAAGTCTTGATGAAATCAATAAATCTTTGACAACAGCGAAAGAGACGGCCTTTCGAACGGTATTCAGTGGTCAAAGCGAAAAAATTTTGGTCGTTCTCACAAATTTAGAAAACTTTCTTTTATTGCATCCAAGATCACCAACAGTTTAAACTAAGTCTAGAGGCATTGTTTTTCAAATAATCAAAAATGTTCAACATATTTGGAGAACTAAAGTAAGCGTTAGCTTATATTAGTCCTATCCAACATCTTAAAACTGATGGAGTGCTTGTAAATGAATTGCTTGAGGAGAAAGCGCTGAAATTTTGGTTTTTTCAGGCTTCAAAGCTTCCTTTTGGCAGCCTTAGTCCACAGAATAAATGCTGTAACCAATCTTTGACAACCGCTGAAAAAATATTTTCGATTTTAGCCGGACGTTTGTTTCAAAGCAAAGAAGATCACGTAGGTCAGCAAAAATTACTTAGAACTGCCAAAAATTGATAACAGTCTCTGTATGTACGGGTCATCAGCCTATAGCTTATCGTTCGCTCAAATAGATGGCCTTATATCCCAGAATATGGTATGGGAGAATTATCTAATAGCTTTATTTACGGTATAACCGCTAGATCAACGTCACTATGTAATGTTACTCGGCGATATAAGCACTACTTTGCCAGCGATTAATGGTCTTGATTTTCATTTTCGCGTAAAGATGGTCCCGACATTCTTGCAGATAGGCTAAACTTGTTTGAAACCAAGCGTCAATTTGAAGATGTTGCTCGGACTTGTAGCAGTCGTAGCCGTTCTTGCACAAGGTCAGTTATTGCATGCTTTTGACAATATTTGAAAATTCACTCAAAAGATATTTCACCTTCAAGGCTTTTCGGCGCAGCGATATGAAATTCCACAGCAACCTGTTCGTCCACAGGTGAAACAGTATACAATTCCGCAGCAGCCAACTCGTCCCCAAGTGCAGCAGTATGGATTTCTACAGCAGCCTTTTCTTCCTCATGTGCAGCAGCCATATCGCTCTCAAGCGCAGCATGGAGGAATTCCGCAGCAGCTTTTTCTTTCTCAAGTGCAGCAGTATGGAGGACTTCCACAGCAGCCTTTTTTTTCTCAAGTGCAACAGTATGGAGGACTTCCACAGCAGCCTTTTCTTTCTCAAACGCAGCAGTATGGAGGATTTCCGCAGCAGCCTTTTCTTCCTCAAGCGCAGCAGTATGGAGGACTTCCGCAACAGCCTTTTCGTCCTCATGCGCAGCCAGATCCTCGTCAACGAGAGGGTTATGCTCCTCAGTATGAAGAGTTTCTGAGACAAAATCCGCAATATGGTGCTCTTTCACCGCGGTCTCAGCGTCCTTATCAGCATCCTGTCCAGCAAACTCGTCGTTCGCAGACGTATGGTAATCGTCAAGGGACGTATGCAAGGCCTGCTAGTGTGATTTACCAGAGGCCAATTTCAACAAGGATTTCCTATCGAAATGTGGTGATAAATCGACGTCCAGTTATACGACCCATCATACGTCCCATCTCACGTCCCATCATACGTCCCGTCATACGTCTTCCCATCATTCCTCTTCGTACTAATAATCATCGATTTCGCCCTTTTCGTTTTGGAGGTCGCCCTAGAATTTCTCATAGAATTCGTCGTCCTCGTTGATGTGAGGTAACTGTTTTATAAAAATTTCATTTTCTATCACTACTTTTGTGGCTTATAGATTGCGACCAATGGGCGATTTGACGATTTTTTCACTGTGGTGGAAGATGATCAGATTTTTGGGTTTTTGTACAGCTTTATTGCATTGAATGTACAAAAAAAATGACTACAGCCAACATTTCATTTTTGAAAACGTTTACCCTAAAAATAAATTCCAATGAAGCTTCAAATGTAAATGACTAATAAAGAACAGAACAATTAGCAAAACTACCATGCACCCGTATTTCAATATACCATGAGGGCAGTGAAATTAGCACCATTCACTGAGTACAGTGCTTTTTAATAAACCTAATTTGTGAAAGGACAATGTTTGCTTGTCTATCATGCATTTCCCTAGGTCCAGCACAACCACATGATGCAGTTTCAGGAAAGGAAGAGATTACTGATTGCTGCTTGAAAAAGGAGTTTCTTTGACTTTGTAACTTGACAAGATAATACTTGGTGGCAAAAATTTGCTTTCCTCAGTCCATATGTCATTTTTATATTCTTGTCTGCCTGGAAATTAGACAGAAAAAGCCGTTGAGAATTCTAAAAATTTTAGCTACAGAAAAGAAGGTTTTACAAACTTATTCATTAAAAAGCTTGAATGCATAAGATACAGCAAATGAGATGCTGAGTTGGTACAAAAGTTTTATCAGTCTTTTAATCCACCAGCAAATACGATGAAATAGAAACAAACAAACAGTTCAAGCAGCATCTGATGCAAAATTCTTTTCTTCTTCCCAGCTGCCGTACTCTCAATGTGATTTTTTGAAGGAGTGCGTTAATTTATAGAAATTATAACCTTTTTTCATAGCGTCCAGTTTTTGCGATTTTTCAAAATTATCATTAGAGACTTTAAGGGGAGTTTTTTTGACCAGCAGGTAGGGGCAAACCTTTTGCCAACTTGTACATTTCCCTTTTTTATTCAGCTATTCTCCTAGAATTTCGTCATATAATTTTTCAAGGGTCTTGAATTTTGGAAAAGTCGCTAACCCCTAATTGCAACAAACAATGCAAAATCTTCAGATTGCTAAGGCTTCAACACTCGATCATTACCAATATTGACCTTATAAACTAAATGAGCGATTTTCGCTTCAAAATATAAACATCTTGGAACTATCTGTACATCATTGCGCACTTAATTGAAGAATGTTTATTTTCTAATTTTAATTTTAATATTAATTCTCGATTTTTTCAATTTCGCGAGTCTTGCCAAGAATAGACAAGTGCTAGAAAGGGAAAAAACATTGAAGGTATCTGAACTATTTACCAATTCATGTTCTAAAATGTCAGCACAAACTGAATCTAAAATTTGGTCACTTCAAAAATACGTTTCAAAATTTTTGAAATAAACCTACAAAGATTTGTTTTAGTTGGCAAAGGTTGCCTTATTGCTGGCTTCAATCCCTAGAAAGTCTTGAACAAAAATTTTGAAAATTAGCAAAAGTTGGACATGATGGAACCGAAGGGTTGTATTAGGTTGTCCGGAAATTAATGTCCGTTTTGCAAATTTTCACTTTGGAAGGCTATAACTTCGTTCAGTCTTCATATTTTTAAATGCAGTCAAGACCATCAGAAACAGCAAACCTTTCGTATTCTAGCGCGCACCTGCTCGTACTAATATCGCAAACGGGAAGAAAACCATGCGTCAAAAAAGTGGAAGTTTTTCTTTTGAAAACCTCTTCTTTGAGAGCTTACAACTCCCTTCAAGTTTTGTTCGTATGGCTGCTAATCAGCTTATTTTGTAGCCGCAAGCCACTTGTTTACGTATGCATAGAAAAGACTCCAAAGAAGGAGTTGTGCGAAAAGAAAAGATAAAAATTCAAAAATGTTCACTTTTTTGAGCCTATTTCTTGTAGGCTTGTGAGTGCCAAATTATGAAAATGTGGAATTCTTCTTGCACTGAATAGTCAATTTCTCTTCAGATATTGTAGTTAAGGTGTGCTTATCTCAAGCTTACAGAACTGGGCAAAGCTTTGGCGATTGCCTTAATTATGAGAAATTTGTGACCCATAAAATGCCAGCAGTAAGTATCAATTTCGAGGAGTCAATTTCTCAGTCCAATCACCTCCAAAAATCTAGATCAGCATGCAGTAGGTGAACAATCTTCATCTAATACAGTTGCTATGTTTTCAGAAAAATTCGTTTATTTGCTCCTGAATTGTGGTCAAGAAACTGAAAGCTATGAAATTTCGATTTTGAGTGCGGATGTGCAAAATGCTGGTGAAATTCCCACAGATGAGGATAGCAGCTTATTTCCACCACCATTAGAAAGTACATGGAGAAAGCTTTCCAATGATGTGCAGATTCTATATCGTAATAGAAAGTTTGACGAGAAAAAGTTGTTTGGAATCTAGGCCTAGAAAAACGGACATTAATTTCCGGACAACCTAATAGCTTTCAGCGTTACCTCAGACTCTCAACGAATTACACTGGGAGAGTAACTGGAAAGAGGACGGAATTCAGCATTGTATACAGCCTGGATATTTGTTCATTTCAAAAAAAAACTGCACCGACCCAATATAAACGAATGTTGACGTATCCGACTAATTCCTAGAACTCGCAGTATGTGACAAACTTTGTATTCTAAAATTAAATCCACAAACCAATTTATGTACTTCTATTTTGACCTAACAACAAATAATTCTATAATATAAAGAGTGCATCGCATAATGTTGCTGCGAAGCAAGTTATTTTAGTGGTGTCATGTGCATATGCAGCATTTATAGGTGTGTGCTTCACTCTTTGCTTCATAAACGTCCAGCTCGACCTAAAGCTCATACTGGGCCTGGAGTGACGAGCCATTTTCAAATTGTTTACACCAACGTATGAATTGAGAAAAGGATTAACTAAGCCAAGTTAACAACCGCAATAATTATTGAAACTTCTTATGTGGTTAAACAGAGTACATAATGTATGGGGTAATCACAGTGCGTGTTCGAATTTACGTTGAATTTTGGCATGCTGATGCACAAGCTCACAACATTGTCGCTTCGCAATAACGGCGTACTGTGGATTCACAGTAGTACACTAGGGGACCAATAATCTCAATTTTTGCCACAACTTCGCACTAGCCTTAAAGGTAGCGGCTCGGCAAATCCTCGTTATATGGTTTTTCCGCTTACCTAGAGTAATTCGATGCGCTGTTCCGGAAAACACTTTGAAAAGCGCAAAAATGGCAAGAACTAGCACTTCCCAAGGCGCCGCATTTTGAATTTGGACGAATGGGACGTTTCCCACCATGGTTAGACATGTAGAGTGAGATCATTATGTTCATAGCATTGCGGCATCCCGCCTCTGACGATGTAATAAGGGATATCGCAAGCTCATCCGAGCGCGTGTAAGAATGGCTTGCGTGCACGGGAAGAGCAATTCTCTATCCAGGATAAACATGCTGTGCGCTCCGACCTGCTCCGTTCTCATGATTGGGGTGCAAGCAACCTTCCTTATAAAAATTTCGAGATGTTCGGTTTTTCCGAGCCACTGCCTTTGCGAGTTCCACCAAAAGGCTGCAAAGCGTAGTCATTGTTATGACTATGCTGCGCAGCCTTTGGGGCACTCTTATGTTAATTATATCAAGTGATATCCAATTTGGTTTCTTTTCAGTGAGTTCTATAAAAGTAACCTGCGCTTGATTGAGTTTTTGATTGAGCAGATTCAAAACTTGATCAACTTTTGAGTTCTGTGATGTCATTATTGCCTCCGCAGTGGCTCTCGAACTGTCTTTGTCTTCCATGCAGACCTGGAGTATTGTTCGATACAGTGAAGCAAGCTCTACATATTGACCACTAAAGATCCGTCTGTATCGTATTTTAGGTAAGGTTTGGAGCCAAAAATTAATATTTTCCATTACCCTAAAAATTGGATCATCTTCCAGAAATCCTATGGACCCCAACTTGGTACCTGTACAGGAGGCGCCTGAAATAAGGAGCAAAAATGTGCAAAAATGCAGAAATACAATTTTCTTTGGAATTTGCATTAACTTGGATTTCCCAATCACCAAAGCGCAACAAAGACTTCATTCCATTGGGTTGGTGCAAAGTAATGAGCGTTTTTCTAGCCCTGATTTCACGACAAGTTTTTTCCATCACGCTTCCTTCTTTGAAAAAGACAATTTGATATCGAGAAGCTGTTTTCATGCTCTATGCAATGATAGCTGAAAAAGGCTTCTGGCTTCTTTTATATCCTTGCAGAGCTTCACGAGGCCGCACCTGATACCAGAATTTTATTGCATTTGCTTTTCTGGCCAGTCTCAAGCGTTAATGAGGACTCCTTTTGAAATTACAGCTACTGTATGTGATAAAATTGTCTTCATGGCACACTTTACTACTTTTTTCACTACTTTTTTAGACATTATCTCGACTAGAATATTGGCGCCTCAGCATGATTAATCGTTTTGGTCATTTCCATAAATTCTTTTGAAGAAGGCAATTGCCAAAACTCTGCTCATTTCTGTCAGCGTAAGAGTAGGCCTCCCTTCGACTTTGGCAAAAAAATAAAAAAATTCCATACTATGGGACATCAAAGGCACCGTCCACTCAGATCCGCGACTTCCATTGATCGCTGATCAATGGAAGGGATCGCTCGCATTCTCAGGTCCCATGATGACGAATATGAAATCGAGAATCCGCGAATCTAACAATCCATGTTCCGGAGAACCCGCAGTCCGGCTTTCCGAAGCGGTGATTGGCTGCGGGCGCACGAGCGGGCGGGCATGAATGGGGAGGGCGGTGCCGTCTAAATTCTTTGTGCACCTTCGTTATTCGGAAGCGATTTCCTCTCTTCCGAAGCGACATTTTGCGCTGCGACTTGGGCATTGACTTGACGGGGACCCTACTATTATTATATGCTGCCAAGAGCTCAAGACCCTCAACTTAGGGTGGACGATGCCTTTAAGGCCTACGAAAAAATGTTGAAAAAGTTGACAGTTTTCGATTTTAGTTTTTTTCTTTTCGCAAATCTCTTTGTTTGACCCTTCCCTTCTTCTTTTGTAGTGACGATTTGCAGCTACAAGATAAGCTACTTATCATCTACATTGATAGCATTTGAAGGGAGTTATGATCAGTTAGAACGAAGTCTCAGAAAAAACTTTTTGTGCTTATCAATCTATATTTTTCCGTCGGTTTGCGATATGAGAGTAGGCAGATGTGCGCTGTACTGCAAAAAGCTTGATGCCTCTGACGGTCTTTGCCGCATTGAGCAATCGAAATCATTTTGGAAGTTGTAGCACGTCAAAGTAAGAACTCGCAAAACGCGCATTACTTTTGCCAAACCTAATAGCTTATACTAGGCTTGCATATACAATCATGCATATACAATCACATATGTTGGAAGAGCTGGGGCGAAGTTTCCCATTCTTGGAATATTTTAATTTCTCACGTTTTTGAGCTGAAAAAAACCTAGCAAATGTATGAATACTATTAATACTATTATACTTATTACTAATACTACTACTATTTCTGTATGGCGACCAACTTGTACAACTTGAAACCTCGTACGTGTCTTTTTCCGTAGGAATCTAGCTTACGGCGGTGGAGATTTCTTCCAATTTTGGTTCCAAAACTTATCTGGATCATTTAGATGGATCTTCAGTGGCCACTATGTAGAGCTTGCTTTCCTACTTGAATCGCAGATTTTCTTTACATTCAGAAAGTTCACTTCATGTTTTGATCATATCGAAACACTGCTGACGACATCAGAGCTCATCTTTACACGTTTGGAATTCAATGTTTTGAGAATCCTGTGTTTGACGCGCCTTTTGGCAATCTCGCTTGCATTTGAATGCCTTTGGTGCTCCTGACGCGGCATACTCTTGGCATTATTCGTGAGGAAGTTGTAGACAGACACTTGGAAAGCTCTCGGCAAGACTTATAAGTGAAACGCGTTCCGAAGTTATCATGATATCAGACGCTACGAAGTGCTATCACAACTTAAAAAAAACTAGGTTGATGCGAAAGTAATGTCCGTTTTTTAGGCCTATTTTACTAAAAACTCTTTAAAATTTTTTTCGATATGGATTCTGCATTTCACTGGGAAGCTTTCTTCATGTACTTCCTGACAGTGATAAAATCAAGCCTACGTAATCTGTGAGAATTTCACCAGCATCTCACACACCTGCACTAATCGAAAATACGTTGCTTTAACTTCCTTGGTCACAATTCAAGCGCAAATAAACGGATTTGTATTGGTTGAACATTGTTTACATATGACATGTTTTGAGTAGATATTTCAAAAATATCGGAACCGAGAAATCGACACCCCGGAATAGATGCTGGCTGCTGCATTTTATGGATCCAAATTTTCTTATAATTAGGGCAATTGCCGAAGGTTCCCATTTCTGTATGTTTGAGGTCACGACATTTTTTTCCTACAATTTTTGCAGAAAAGCTTAGCTATTCAATATATTAGGTCGTTCCGAAAGTAATGTCGCTTTTTTCAAATGAACGCCACATTTCATGGAATCAAGATTTTCAAAAGATCTTAGGAGCATTCGATGCAGCTTTTATCCTCTTTCTAACGGTTGTAATTTCATTGCATAATTTTCATTGAGCTTTCGAAAAATTAACAAAATCTGCAACTCATGCTTTTTGATATGGTCAAGTTCGGCAATTTTTTAAAATTTTTGCACCTATTCTCCGAAGAAGTACTAACGGCAGGTAGATAGAGCAAACCCTATAGGACACGACGTTATTTTTTTCTTTTCCATAGCCTGTTTCTCAGTGTTTCTGGAATCAGTTTTAAAATGCCATCAAATTCCATATTTGGTCAACTCAAACCTCACAGAACAATAACCAGCAAGTAACTCGGGTGTCATTCGACGCAGCTTTTCTCCTCTTTTTACAAGTTGTTTTTGGTTTCCGATTCATCAAGTTTTCCGAGATAAAATCATCATAATTTAGGTTTTCCAGGGCACCTCCGGCTTTACTCGGAATTTTCGAAAGTTGCTAATCTAAAGCGGTAAACGCTCATTTGCTTTGTAAAATTAGTGCCAAACCATAGTCCATCTTTGTACCAGACAAAACCCAGTGCTTATCTCTTTGATTAAGGCGGAATTTTCTGTGAAAAATCGTAAAAACTGCGTTTTTCTTTATCTCGTTCTGTTTCAGTGCTTTCGCCGAAATTTTTTCCAGCTTAAACGATTATTGCTCAGAATAATAAGCGCAACAATTTAGGCACAACGTCCCAGAAAACGGGAACTAGAATGCGGGTAAAAATTTAGAGGACGCACCAAAAACTAGGTTGGCTTTGACGCGCATTTCAACTTGATGAAAGCAAAACTCTTTTGTTTTCAAAACTAATTCCTTTTTTGTTTATCTTTTCCTGATAATTGCTACTTCTAAAATATGGTGTTTTCGAACTAAACAAAAAACTAGCTTTTCCTCGTAATCCCCGGGTTGTGGATTTTGGTCTCGGAGCAAGAACCTGCAATCCAGACTGAAACTTTAAAAACTTGTTGCAGCATGTTGCGGCTCGGTGGGCTCAGCACCCACTTGCCTCGCTCGACTGCCTGCACAACCCTGCACCTACTGCCCACAAGCCTAGCGCCGGTTAGCTACTCCAGCGCGTCCGACAAACTACCCCACTACGAGAAACATGACGCGCGGCTAGATTACTAACATTTATTTAAATAACAGCAAATGCACTACAAATACTAAGCTACGGAATTACCTAAAAGCTAAAGAAGGAACAATACACGGGACGAGTCCGCCTCGTCCCAAGCCGCCGATGAACATCAACCTAATTCCAACACACGATGTCAGGGGAATCACCTGGGTCGACCACCTACTCTCGCCTCCGCGTAGGAAAGTTGCGACCCTCTCCACTTCCGGTACTAACTTTTCCACAAAGCCTCTAAACTTTCCTCGCGCGTTGGCTCGGCACAATTCAAAAGCTGTAACAATCACTTGCTCGCAAGAACTTCATCCACGGGAGCTTGCCGGGTTAGCTGCCAACCACAATCAATAAAGTGAACGTGAGAAATCAGAAAATAATTTGAAAACGAGGTTGGAATTAGAGAGGCATATGCCGCCAACTGCGCGGCCTTATATACCCCTCGACCTGGCAGCGCGCCCAAGCGGGAGAGGTCCGGGAGCGAGTTTGAAAAGCGCGCCCGATTCGGCGGCATGCAGTGCTCCCGGCACCTGAATCGAGGAGAGGCTTGCATCGCGCGAGCCGCGACACTCCCCCCCCCCTTCCGAGACAGTGGCTTGGACGTTCGAATGGTGGTTACGTGATAGCACTGACGACCACAGGGGATGCATCCTACGTTAGGTTTTAAAGGTGGACAGGTAAAAGAACAATTCTATCGGCGGCATGGTAGAGTGCGTAGGAGATGACCTGGAAGAAAAACCCGTCCCATAGGGTAACATACATACGCAATAAAGCACACAACAAATACATGGAGTAACTGAGATTAACTGATTGGTTAAATACGGTTAAGTGCGGTTAAATGCGGCTAAATGCGGTTAAATGACGTGATTAAATATGATAACTACATTCTATAAAGGAGAGTAACTAGATAACTGAGGTGGCTAAATATGAGGTGGCTTAAATGTGAAAACTAACACTACGAAGGAGAATAACTGCTCAACTGAAGTGATTGAATAAAACTAACTATGAACTAAAATGGTTATGTGAAGCTAAATGTGCGTCTAGACGTGCTTAAATGTGAGGTGGTTAAATGCGAAGTGGACAACTATGAAGACCATGTGCATGTGTGAACGACGAGCCATGTGCGACCATACAACCAACATCATCTCCAACAACCATGACCACAAGCAACAACAACCATGTGCGAGACTACCCATGACCACACTATACCATTCTACCAGATGTCACTAAAGCAGAAAAGGTTTATAAGGTTAAAAAGGTCATAAGGGTAGAAACACCCTAACCGTTTTCCATCGTTCCACTCACTACCGTCACACACGGGCTCGCCCTCTACACTATTCGCGCGCGCGGCGGTGAGGCTGCGATGTTTCAGCGCGCGGCAAAGCAAAACTCCCAGATGGTATTGGGGGATGGGTATTTGCGTCCAGCCAAGCATAAAATTTTTCGTGCGTTGGGAACCAATCCATGTCACGCACAATTTGGGTGTTCTTCATACAAAAGGCGCAATGGTGACGTTCTCCTCCGCAGTTCCAACAATAGTATCGCTTCTTGCATTTTCCGTGATGCTTCTTGAGACATACCGAACAAAATCCTTTCTCCAGCGCAACTTCAATCCTCTTAGACATGGATGTTACCACACTGCCGTCGGCACTGAAGTGTCCATAACCTTCACAAAAAACACATGGCGGTAAAAGTCCACACCGTCCAGTAGACGCCGAACTAGGTTCGGCCGCCTCGAGTTGCTGAGAGGACTCTAGTCCGCCCTCCCGCGCGACAGGATTAACTTGAGGCGAAAGGACTGGTGGAATGGACTGGTTCCTCTCAAGCTCTGTGATTGGTGTTGACATACGCGTCAATGGTATAATTACTGGACTCGAGCGACTCTCAAATGGCGAAGGTGCTGGAGACTGCGGTGCTTGGGTGCTTCGGATGGCCTGTTCTGTCTGCATTGGCTGGGTTCCTGGCGAAAACGCGCTGATGTTAGGCGCGGCTGGTGTTGTAGCGACTTGAGGCTGATCATCATGAAATTCTACTCGTACAAATCGTTCCTTTTGTTGTTGCGCGAATGGATCTTCACTATGCGCAATTTCCAGATAGTCTTCGGTAAGCGGACCATGGAGTTGTTCCTCGTAGTTTTTCTGCCACCATCTAAGTGCTTGGATGTAGGTGGTCGGTACGAAGGGGATCTGAACTGGTGGATTGCGAGCTGCGTATACTGCTTATCGATCTTGGTGACTTTCTGCCGTAGATGCGTCATGACAAATTCCATCTGATAGTACTCAAGCGTGCGCGTAAGACGGATAGCACGCGCAACTGCGGCTGACGCGGCCATAAGCTTTTCCATGATTACGCTTTCGCTAATCTGGCAACCAACTAGCGCGTCAAGAAACGATTGCGAGCGCGTGAAAAAGTGCGATAGCAAAACCTCACTGATGATGTCGCGGTGTACCGTGATGCCTGTGATAACGTGCTGAATTACATGAATGTACGCCATGTACCTCGCATATGATATACTGGCTTTGTCCGGGCGCAGCAGCAAGGTCTGGGTATTGAGGAAGATGTTATTGGCGCAATCCAACACGGCTGCAAGCTTACGCATATGAAAAACGATACGCGCGATGTGGCGCTGTTGCTCAGGTGTTAGAAGCGTAGTATCTGCAGCTTGCGGCTCTGGCTGCGCGCGACCAGACGTAGTGATAAACACGAAAACTCTGCGTAGCTGCGCAGCGGTAAGTTCCTCTACTGTGTGTGGCAATACTTCAACGACATCTTGCAAAGCAGGGATGACATGCGCATGCGCGTCCGGCGCTGGGTTGGGCTGTAAGGGTCTTAAGTTAGGGTCACTGGGTACGCGAGATCGCAAATCGCGCTGCTTCTTGCAAATGTCGTCCAGGACCCCTCTCAGATCCAAGCTGTCTTCGCAATGCGCTAGTAGACGTCGAGCTTCGAAGATCATCAACTGCGCAACTGATTCGCTAGAGGATGTTGCAGTGCCTGCGCTACAGGTAGACGCAAGTGGCGAGCGGCTACGCGGTTGTGCGCTAGAGCTTGCCGTGCGCGACAGCAACGAGGATGACGAATGCTCCATGATGGCGACACGGTACAAGTACGTACGGCGCAGCTGGAAAAATGCGCTAATGATAAATGTGTTTAGCAATAACGAAAAGTGAGGGCTCAATGCAAGAAAGAAGAGTTTTAGAGACAAAAAATTGGTAGAAATTTTGGTGTAAAAATTGATAGAATGCTTTGGTGCCAAAAGATTGTGCGCGTTATGTTTTGAAGGGGCGCAAAATGTGTGCGCAACAAGTAGAAGCCCCAAGATGAAAAGAGAATTGAAAAAATGAAGGGTTTTCGCTAAGCTTCTTACTTGTATTGTTCCCTCGTAGAAAGTCCTTGCTCGGGGTCTCGATAGTCCGATAGATGACAGCTGGTTAACTTTATTGACAGTGGTACTGACAAATGAGCACGAGTTGACACTAAACAAGTTCACAGTAAAGAGGTACATACAAGGCATGTAAAACGGGTGCAAATACGAAGTCAAAATGCTGAGTCTACAAAAAATACTAGAGAAACTATAAACTTATACAAGGGAGCCTATGATGTGCACTATGCGATCAATAACGTTTCGTAATGAGCGAATTGCATCTTGCGACTAGGTTGACAATCGCGTTGCCTGACGACGATTCGTGCCGGAACCCAGCGCAGTCTAAAGATGGACTTAGACAAGGGGAAATAATCTTATCGCTCATCAAGGCGCGCCTGTAGCGCTCATCTATAGAGGAAAGAGTATACAATAACTAAGAAAGAAAGAGAAAAAGGATCGAAAGAAAGGAAATCAAAGTAAATCAATATGTACCTACTTTACGGCTGTGCTCACTCCTTAGATGTTCCAGAAGGGGTATCCTTTACTGCAAAGTGCTCGTGATCTCTCTCAGGGATCGTCATCTGCCACTATCTCCAGAGGTACCAGACGGTTGATTGAGCGTTCCAGTATCTTCTTTTTGGCTGTCCGGATCTTGGCTGATCTTACGTTGCCATCAGATGAAGCGTTGAGTTCCAGAATGAGTGCTAGTGGCCAAGTTGATCGATGCGCGTCCTGTCTGATGAACACTACTTCTCCTACTCGGGGTGGTTTCCTGCTAGACTGACCGTTCGAGCGTACGATCTGTCTCTGCGCTAAGGCATCAAGATAATCACTGTGCCAAAGCTGAGACTTGTAGCGCGTACGGAGTGCTCGATAGCTCTCGTTCGTCGCATTAGCGATCTTCTGGGGCATGCTGCCGGTCAACCGTGCCACTTGGAAATCCGTGGTGATCAAGTCAATAGGTCTTATGGCCACGTTCGTATCCGGATCGGATGAGTTCACCGGAAAGAGAGGTCTGGTACTAAGAATTGCCTCGATCTCGACTATCAGGGTCTCCAGTAGCCAAATGTCCAGCGTTTGATTCCGTACCGTCTTCTTCAGCGCGTTCTTAACCGATCCGACTAATCGTTCATAAAATCCTCCTTCCCATGGCGAGTACGGAGTGATGAATGTCCAGTTGAGGTTATGGCTGGGACAAAGTTGGTTCATCTGGCTGTCGTCCTTCACGGCTGGCAACTCATTCTTGATAATTTCCTGTCCCAGCTTGAAGGTAGGCACGTTGTCGCACGTTACTGTATCCGGTTTCCCTCGACCTGCCATGAATCTCCTGAAAGCTAGTATAAACTGTAAAGTAGATTTGTCTCTTACCACTTCTAGATGGATTGCGCGCGTTGACATGCACGTAAAAAGACAAATCCACACTTTTCGGCGCTCAGATGACTGCAAGCGAACAAGAATGGGTCCAAAGTAGTCAAGGCCGATATGCTGGAATGGGCGACTCCTAGTTACCCTCTGTAATGGAAGGTCCGGTGCATACGGATACTTATATGGACGGGCTTGATACCTCCTGCAAATCACACACCTGGAAATAACGGACTTAACCAAACGTTTTAGCTTAGGTATGAAGAAGCTCTGGCGCAAGGTGGTTATCAAATGGGACGGTCCAGCGTGAAATAGCTGACAATGATGGTACATGATCAACATATAACAGAGAGGATGATCCGACAATATGAGGATGGGGTTAGTAGAATTGTCGTTCTGCGCGTTAGACATGCGCCTATCCACTCTGATGATACCGTCTTTGTCGCACATCGTGCGAAACTTCTTTATATACGGACTGTCCAGCTGTTGCTGGCCTTCTCTGTAGTGCTCACGTATGAGCAACGATTCAGCTGTCGTAAAGTCGTCCGGTGTTACTACGGGTGTTATGTCCATCGTGCCTAAAATTGATTGCACGTCCTGATGTTCGCGATGACAGCGCGTTTCGACTAGGTGGCGCACTCTAGCCAAAAACTTAAGGACGTATGCTGTGACGCGGACCAGCTTAGTGTACGAGTTGGTGCGCGTAAAAGGCACGAAGGATACATAAGGTTCGGAGATGGTATTTGTCGAGGTTGTGACCGCCTTAAGCTCTTCTGCTTCTGCACCTGGTAGCGAACTGACTGATGGTTCAAGACTCTTCCAGGGCCACTGTGAAGAAGGGATCGCGAAGAAGCTTGGGCCTGTCCACCATATATGGTTTTGGAGCTCTATGGCTGTTAGTCCACGGGTGGCACAGTCCGCCGGGTTGTTATCCGTGTTCAGGTAGTAAAATCCGGTGGCGATGTTGTCCGCTCTCAACTCGTCGAGCACGCGACGGATGTATCTAACGCGGCTTGCAACGTAGGTCTTGAGCGGCTTGCGCGACTGAATCCAATACAAAACTGTCTGGGAGTCGGTAAGAAATCTGACTGACTGAAAGCTGACTTTACACTGGCTTCTAAGGAACTTCGCGGTCTTGGCTGCCATGTGACAAGCTAAGAGTTCCATGCGCGGGATGGTGATCGCGCCTGGAGGAGCTAACTTCGCTTTTGCGAAGAGCAGTGTTGGTCTTGGACTATCGTTCGCGTGACGCGTCAAGATGTAAACAGCGGTAGCATAGACTCTCTTAGACGCGTCCGAACAGAGGACCAAATCGTAAGCATTGTCACAAGTAACTCCAAGGTAGCGCGGAACCTGTGAGTGAAAGTCGCTCATCTCCTGAACGATGGTATTCCATTTCTCAATATCTGCCTCAGTAAGAGGGTCATCCCAGTCATAACCAGACTCCCACAAGTCTTGTATAAACATCTTAATTCTTATCAACAGCGGTGTTAATAGTCCTAAAGGGTCAAACGTAGATGCATAAACTCTCAATGCAGTCCTCTTGCTCGTCACAGGTTGACGCGCGATGTTAATAGGCACGTGAAGTACGTCGAGCTTAGGATTCCATTTGATCCCTAGGAAGCGAATGGTCCGTGTATCTTTATACGATCGTGTTCAGGAATCGAGCGCACCGTACTCTCACTGTTCGACATGAACTCACGAAAGTTCATGGACATTCGCGCGAAGATTTCCTTGCATTGCTTACACTTTTCCAAGCATTCATGGTTGGAATCCGCTCCGACAATGAGATTGTCTACGTAAGTGTTAGCAAGGATCTCTTCTTTGAGACGATTTGCCGGATCCTGTTCCAAAAAGTATCTGATAGACATACTGAGTAGGAAAGGTGATGCATTTATACCGAACGGCACGCGCGCGAAGCCTAGTATGCGAAGATTGTCCGTCGATGGTGGTTGTTGGACATCTTTCAGCCAAAGGAATTTTGTGGAATCCCTTTGATCCTGATGTAAATGGATCTGGTGAAACGCTTTTTCCACGTCGGCGATAATAAGGAAGCGATGGAATCTGCTTCGCACTAAATCTGGTAATAAGGAAGGTCCTTGGTATAAGCAGTCGTTGAGGCTTGGACAGCCTTTCTGATGACTCAACGGGTCAAAGACGATCCTTAGTTTGGTGGTAGAACTGTCTTGTTTATATACGGCTTGATGCGGAATGTAATACGTATTCAAGCCTTGCGCGGCAACATCCGTGACATCCTCAATTATGCCAATTCGCAATTGATCTTCAATCGTCCTGCAGTAGTCTTTCCAAGCTTCTGGTGCCGCGCGAAACTTCTCATATTGACTCTGCAATCGGCGAAAGGGGTTTGTTATCCTCAAGAGGGGGATGTTCTGGCTTCCACGGAAACGATACGTAGATGCTGCCGTCTACAATGGCGACCTTGTTGTAAAATTGCTTGATGACTTCGGCATCGTCCACATCTTCGCCTTCATCCATTCCGAGTCCAAAGAGACTACGTACAAGTCGTTCGTTCTCTGGCTCGTCTTCGTCCGATGATGTGTGAGCAGTCGAGAGACTATTGGAGACAACTGGGTGTTGTATGCCGGACAGAACTGGTCCAAATCTCGTGTGTGACAGGATCAGTCCTGATGGAAGCCTCTCATTCCTGTGCAAATCAACAACACGGCAATAGTTGTCTATGCCAATAAGCACGTCGACATCCACTCTGCCTGCAGGATCGACGATGGTATTGTCGATGCGATCGTTAGTCCGGAGGACCGTCGTAATCTTCTCGCGCGTCCATAGCACAAGTTGGATCGGATGTTCATATTGGTCCCATGGCGTGAGAGTGATCTCTGACGATTCTTCCGTAAGTTCATGTCCTCCAAACGTCAGGGTCGTCACTGTCCTGGTATTCCTGAATGTTAGGCCCAGATGTTTGGCCAACGTAGTGCAAATAAAGCTGTACTGCGAACCGCTATCCAAGAAAACTGTAACCAGCTCGCTCGTCTGAGTCTTAAAATTCTTAGTTACAGCGCGGACTACCATTAGACGAGGTTCTTGAAGTGTGGATAGATCATGACAAACAGACGTACAGGAAGATGGCGAATGCGCGCCTGAAGCTCGTGAGTGATCGTCAGATGACTCTGCTTGCGTGTCCATGGTAGTACGAGATGTGTCAAAGGTACAGTTGGTGCTGTGTACCGCGGATGTAGGACTGCGTGACCTATAGGATGGCGAAGTACGCCTAGACGGTGTTGGGGAAAACCTACTCCTAGATGGTGATGGAGATCTAGACTGGAAACCGCGCGATGATGCGCGTGGAGTACGAGATCTCATGCGAGATGACGAGCCGTAGGACTCCTCATAGAACTGTACGCGTCTGAGCGATCGAGATCTGTGCGAGCCCTGATAGAAAGTGTGCCTAAACGTCGGAGTTGGCGATCGCGGCAAAGAGGAAACTTCTAGGCAAAGGGACCTATGGTGTATCCTATTGCAATACGGACAAAGAGGAGTGTCGCAATACATATAAGTATGACCGGGTTTAGACATAGCCGACGAAGCTTATTGCGACTGACATACAGTCTACGTTGCCTAGCATCGAAGTTTCTGCAACGATCTGACGGATGTCCAAAATTGTGGCAAAAGACACACTGTGGGTCGGATGAAGTTTCGAAACGCGATCTACTGGGGCTATACGACGCATGCCTAGGGTAATATGGTGTTGGAGGTCTGTCCTGTCTTCTGCGAGGGACGGTGTGCGCGACAGTGAACGCCTTGCACGCGATGGTGTGCGATAGCGCGTGAATGCTTCACCTATCCTGTCCTCGCGTGGGTATCTTCGGGGAGAAAGAGAGTGTTGACGAACAGCCGACTGGGAGTTGTAAGAGTGATAATCCGAAGGATCTGCATTTTCTATGTTCTCTAATCTATCAATGATGGTATCCAGCGTAGCAAGCAATTCACATCAACCGTCCACATCGGATCTCCTTTGTTCTTGAATTCGCCAATCCTCTCACGTGTACGCCGGGGGAACTTGGCACGAATGATCTTGAGCGTGCCGATCGCGCTGGAGTCTTCCTTAAGATGTTGAAGCTGGGTCCATGTAGCTCTTATAGCACAGAGTGTCGCGCGTTGTGACAACGGCGAATCCGAGGCTGATGGTAACTGCAAGAGCTTGTCCCACAGCTGTTGCGTAGGATCTCCGGACGACCATACGTGTTATTCAGGATACGTACTGCTTCATCGTAGTTCTCAGCTGTCGATTGAAAGCCGGTGATGAAGTTCGCAGGAGGTCCTCATAAATGGGACTTCAAATACATGAACTTGACTGGCACAGGTACACTGGTGTTAGTGCACGGCCGTCGAAAAAAGGTCCCAAAACTCGTAAAACCTGTCGATATCACCGTGGAACGTAGGAATCTCGAAGCTCGGCAGTTTTAACGATTGCTCCATGGACAATTGCGATGAAGCGGGGTTTGGAGGAGTAGAAGATACTGCAAACGGATTCGGTGGGGGGGGGGGGCAAGAAGAAGTCATAAAGGGATTGCCAAAAGTTGGGGGGTTATTGGGGGAGACACCGAATCCTTGGGTGGCGCTCGACGCGCGCGGTGGTAGGGTATCAGCTGGCGCGATATCGGGTTCTGATGAGCGATCCTGATTCTTAGACGAAGAGTGGCTCGCGATTTCCTCTCTCACGCCCTGCGCAGGCTGATCGGTCGGGATGGGGTCTTGGGTAGGATGAGGAGAAAGGTTAACAGGTGAAGAAGAAGGAGGAACAACCGGAACACGCATAGAATACAAAACTTCCGAGCTCGGCAAGAGCTTGATCGCAATATCAAGACGAGCATGGAGAGTGTCAGCTTCCTCCAGAAGTTGATCCAGTTCACTAGCGTCCCAATGATCCTGAATCTGCTGAAGGAAGGGAAACTCGCCCTGCTCGTCAAGATTTTGACGAGCAAACTCTTCGGCTTTCTCTCTCTGGGCGCGTAGATGCGCAACAGCACTTTCAATCAAGGTAAATCTCAAAAAAAGTGAACTCTTATGACTCAAAATAAAGTGTGGATCCTTACTTGCCTCCATAGCAGGATCCAGCGGTTGAAGGATGGCCTCATCGACTTCCGAGATCTTCTCACGAAGTGCTTTGGCGGCTTTGGTGATTTGGGCTTTATAGCTTCCGAGAAGCGACATTACCTGAAAGAAAAAAGAAAGAAGAACGGTCGAGTATGTAAAAAACAAAAAAACGATAAATATGACATGAGTATTATGTGATGTGAGTAACCTAGCCCAACCTAAGCTAGAAGGGGTAAACCGCTATTGGGGCAACTTACTTACAGGCGCAAAGCAACAATTACGACAGGGTGTCACTAGAGACTGAAAGCGCTGATGGTGATTGCGCGAGTAACAAGATGAAGGAATGGTGACCTGCCCGGAGACCCTTCGGTAGTTATCCAAGGCTCCTATCGGCGAGTAGGAAAATTTTGGGCTCCTGAACCACCTTTCCAGAGGACCGTGCCGTAATGATGATCTTCCCATACGCACGACGCCTCGCCAGTACCAGAGGGTGTGGGCATGGACTTGATGGTCAGGCCCAGAACGGGTCTGGTAGTGCCGACCCACAATATCGGATGCCAGGCCAGTCCGTAGACTCTTGGCCAACAAGATTCACCAGATAAGCTGGTGCCCTTAATGACTAAAAAAGGGGGGCCTTTACTGGGGCGCGGCCTTAGTAGCTAGGTGCCCTCCACAATTAGGTCCCAAGAAGCTAAAACCTAAAGGAATGCCCGTTTACGAGAAACGAGAAGCAGAAATAGAAACTACGGGCCCAAATTAGACAAACAAGGTTACGAAATGTGACTGTGAAGCGCGAAAAGAACTAAGGAATGTAGGAGAAGCGCGAAAATTTAGTGACCCTCTAGTACTCCCTCCGGAGACGCTCCCATGCTAGCGCCCCCAATACGCAAACCTACGGTGTGGTTCAGGCTTCTAGATGGTGAAAGAACGGTGTCACAGCGCTCCCATAGCAGCTCAACGAAGCTGTTGCGTCCCCATACGGCTCTGATACAGCTCGTCCAGCTTCGGCCCACGACTCGACAGATGCGCGCGCGTAACCACTAGGGTCCCCGTGGTCGAGCCCGCCGGGGATGACACCTGCACATTACCTGAGATACTCTTCAGAAGCGCGAACAGGCATTAATCACTGTATGAATTAAACGCTGCATGCTGAGGCTTCAAGTTGGCAAGAGCTGCCACCATCCTGCTGCCTATCCACCTTACGTTCATGACATACTCATGGCTACCATTCCTGCATTCTGCCACTGTTCGTCCGAGTGTCTTCTGGCGTCCTTGTTGTTCGATCTTCTTATTGTGCTGAGCGTGGTAGACTTAGGTTCGTTACGCACGCGTGGAAGATGGGATGGCGCGTTCCCATAACGGCGTCCAGCTGTTGTCCAGTTCGTCCTCAATCTTCGCGTCCATTCCATACGCGGGCGGAATCCTCCATCGTCCATGCGCTCGGCGTCGATGCACCATGTTGCGGCTCGGTGGGCTCAGCACCCCCTTGCCTCGCTCGACTGCCTGCACAACCCTGCACCTACTGCCTACAAGCCTAGCGCCGGTTAGCTACTCCAGCGCGTCCGACAAACTACCCCACTACGAGAAACATGACGCTCGGCTAGATTACTAACATTTATTTAAATAACAGCAAATGCACTACAAATACTAAGCTACGGAATTACCTAAAAGCTAAAGAAGGAACAATACACGGGACGAGTCCGCCTCGTCCCAAGCCGCCGATGAACATCAACCTAATTCCAACACACGATGTCAGGGGAATCACCTGGGTCGACCACCTACTCTCGCCTCCGCGTAGGAAAGTTGCGACCCTCTCCACTTCCGGTACTAACTTTTCCACAAAGCCTCTAAACTTTCCTCGCGCGTTGGCTCGGCACAATTCAAAAGCTGTAACAATCACTTGCTCGCAAGAACTTCATCCACGGGAGCTTGCCGGGTTAGCTGCCAACCACAATCAATAAAGTGAACGTGAGAAATCAGAAAATAATTTGAAAACGAGGTTGGAATTAGAGAGGCATATGCCGCCAACTGCGCGGCCTTATATACCCCTCGACCTGGCAGCGCGCCCAAGCGGGAGAGGTCCGGGAGCGAGTTTAAAAAGCGCGCCCGACTCGGCGGCATGCAGTGCTCCCGGCACCTGAATCGAGGAGAGGCTTGCATCGCGCGAGCCGCGACACAGCATGTTTGACGGGTTTTTGAATGTTTTTTTGCTTTTTTTTGCATACACTTCTCTTCTCTGATATTCTATAAACAACCTTCACTTTTTATGGGAACAGATAATCAAACAACCTTTACTTTCAGGGTCCTGTCTCTAGACTAACGAAGGTATGCACTCACCTCATAAATAAAACCACTGCTAAACAGGTGCCAAACTGGTCCGCTTAGCCGATTTGTCTACTTTGCTTTTGGTCAAATCACATCTGACCAGTAGCGATATGCAGCGACTGAGCTTTTAGTGCCCTTCAAGAGAAAATGAAATCGTGCAATATGACAAGCCCCATAAAGCTCCAAAACTCGCGCTAGCCCTACCCTGTATTGAAGACCACTTCGACCGAAAGCTAATCTAAATTACTGAGAAAAGGAAGAAAGAAAAAAAACAGTTGTAGTTGCGACAAGAACATAAGATGAACCATAATGTAAGGATAAAAACAACTATTAATTTGCACTTACAGGAAAAGCGCGGTTTACCAAGCTGACTTTCCCACAACGCCAAATTGGTGCGCCATTCTTTCGCCATTTATACACCCAGGGAAACAGCGCTCACAATCGCTGCGTTATAAATCCCTGGATGCGTATAGGGCATTCGATCGTGACGATGACGCGACCACGCGCCACACGCATGCGCTGCCCGCAATATTTTCTTGGTTTTCATTTCTACCCGAATGCTTTTTCTGCTCACCCGTGATACTCTAATCAGACACTCAAAGTGATTGAAGTAAGCTTCAAGGTGATGCCTCTCTGTTTGAGAGTTTTATGCTTGTGGGGCAAAGACTGCAGTCAAACTTGTCTCACGATTTTACAAATGACGTGTACATTACATCAGATAGATGCGGAAGTCTTGCGGTGGAGGGGGCATTGTCCGTGCTGAGTGATTCGGACCAACCAGTCAAGTTTTCTTTATTGTGACAAGTTCTGGGAATTAGCACGGGTCTAATTAAACTACAGCGTACAGCCGCGATAAGCAAAATCTCTCAGATTCTTTCAGTCTTCGACTTCGCCGGATTCTAAGACACAGACCCGGCGAGATCAACCTCGAATTGCAGACATTTTCTATTTCGCAATCCAGGATTGGCGAATACTTTTATGGGGTTCCAAAGTGCGGCTCAAAAAAATCTGCTTTTAGTAGAAAAATCGAATTTTTTTTAATTTCATACATTTTCAAGAATGGAGGCGTGTTACCTACGTCATCCCACCTAGCTCAGTTGAAGGCGTAAGACGACCTTGTTGCGCTCCAACTTAGCATCAACAACAATCAGCTATTGATGTGGAGGGACGTTGCTTTGAAGACATACACGTTTCCAACAAAAGGCCTCTTTCATCCACACAGGTGTGTTCGAATGAAGAGAATATAGGCGAATCCGCAATTCCAGGATTTTTAGAAACATTGTTTTAACTACATCGCCTGGCAACTTTTGTAAGCGATCACTGCAAAAAATCGACGATGACCGCTATTATAAATTTGGCCTAGCAAACGAAGAGATAAACAAAATTACAATATCTTAACCAATGATTGTTACGATCAATAGGATAAACACAAGAATTTCTCAATTGTTTCTTGGAAATTGACGCAACTTTGGGCTAAATAAAAGTAAAACTTTTTTTTTGTTTTTTTCAAATATCATCCTCTCTTGCTAATCGCCGAAATAGTGTAGTTTGCACACTAGGCTGTCTTTGGCATAACGTCACCCTATGAGTCGCGTAAGTTTCTCACGAGCAGCTTACGGATATTTATTTGGGCCACCTTGAAACACATTGTCCGCACAAGCGGGGCCAACGCATTCGACTGGCTTGTACCGCCGGCAGGAGCTTAAATTATCGCAGCATCTGGCCGACCGCTAAGCCGTCTTCTCACCATCGTTCAATGTGCGATTTCTCAAGTGTTCTGTGGCGCATGTTCTACGAAATAGGTTTCAAAATAATTGTTGGGGTTTTGATGATTGTGCTTTTTTCTTGTAACTAAAATAACTATAACCATTGTCAATCCGCGCCATCAGACTGCCTTTCAAAAATAAAAATTTGTACCGATTTAGACTCGAAAAATTACTCATATTTGAAAGCTCATAACACTCCCAGTCACTTGGCAAATATAAAACATATTTTTGAAATCAGCGTTTCAAAATGATGATGACATACAGCTTGTTTGGAATGGCTAGCTTAAGTTCTGACCATCTCCCGTTTAGTATCACTCATATATTTGGAACGCTACCCAAAATTTTCAAAAAATTTTTCACAAGCTGATTTGGATTGAAAATTTTTTAATATTTTTTCACTATTTGCAAGTGTTACTTGCACATTTTTTATCTGTAAGTAACTTCAAAAATTTGCGACACACCTTCGGGGGAAGGGGGGGGGGGGGAGGGGAGAAAATTGCGGGTGGGGCTTTTTTCAGTCCGCCAGTGGTCCAAGGTGATCCTACACCGCATCAGCATACTATTTAAATAAAAATTTAATGCCTCTTGGAGCTTTAAATGTACCGTCCACTCAAATTCTCGACTTCCATGTTTTGATTGTTTCGGGGCCTTCTCGGGTCTCTCATTCCGAATATGAAGTCGAGAATCCGCAAAAATCCCAACGTGTATGTCGTATGCTGCCAAAAACTCAAACACCTCAGCTTAGGGTGGACGGTGCCTTTAATGCACGTAATCCGACAAGCATGTTGCTAAATGTAAAAGCTTCCCTTGTGTTATTGCAAGTCAATCCATTGTGATAACAACATAAATATGCGCAAGCTTACTACAACTTAACGACTGCGCCCAATCAAAACATTGAAACTTCAAGTTGTATCTTCGAATATTCCACTTTCTGCTGGTTTGAAAACTTTCAAATGCTTTTTGCTTTTCGACATTGGCTGTCGCATTGATGAATACAATTTAGAAGCAAGCTGAAAGATTCATGCTCACGTATAAATTTGTATGAATATGCATTAAGGAAGCAAGGGCAGCTTCTTGCCTTTAGTGTTATCACCTCGCGCTTTCGTAAATCACACATTGGTTTTTCAGGAATTACCTGACTACGATCATACCATTGGCTCTACCAAACTAATTTTATCGCTAAAACGTAATCAAATTGTTTGTTTAAATGTGACCATGCTTTCAGCCTTGGTTTCTACATGTACATTAAAATGTGGTTCGCTCTTTTGGCCATGGCTGTCTTCATTCATCTCACATTTGAAGAGATACGTGAGTATTCATACAAAAAGACTAGATATTAAGAACGAACAGTGCAACCAACATCAGAGAGTGACTTCACACACTGTTTTCAGTTCATCTTAAGCGTAGATCCGTCTTCGAGAGAAGCGAAATGAGACCAATGGGCATGCCAGGCGGAAGATCCGTCTTCGAAGGGAGTGAAATGAGACCAATGGGCAAGTCAGGCGGAAGATCCGTCCTCCAAGGGAATGAAATGAGACCAATGGGCATGTCAGGCGGAAGATCCGTCTTCCAAGGGAATGAAATGAAACCAATGGGCATGCCAGGCGGAAGATCCGTCTTCGAAGGGAGCGAAATGAGACCAATGGGCAAGTCAGGCGGAAGATCCGTCCTCCAAGGGAATGAAATGAGACCAATGGGCATGTCAGGCGGAAGATCCGTCTTCCAAGGAAATGAAATGAGACCAATGGGCATGTCAGGCGAAAGATCCGTATTCCAAGGGAATGAAATGAGAACAATGGGCATGCCAGGCGGAGGATCCGTCTTCCAAGGGAATGGAATGAGACCAATGGGCATGCCAGGAGGACGACCGTTGGGACAGAACGAGCTGCGAAATACAAAATTCGGCGAACAGAAATATTACAAAATGCGTCCAATGCGAGGTAATTTCAGATCGTTATCTACTCTATGACCATTCATACATTAACAACTCTTAAAGGTTACTGGTGATTTGCGGCTCTACAAAATGTATCAAACCGGACCTCTCTAATTTACTCATGTGCACATCAAATCAAAATATACCGTTAAAAGGTTGCGAGATTGTACTTTGCTTTGCCTATAGTGTCTTGCCATGATTCATACAAGTGGAAAGCTGTCACTTTTGGTTCAATGTTCCGAAGATTTGTTCAAAGGTGAATGAGCTTCGCATCGACTTGTGTACTGTAAGGCGCATGTTGAATAAATAGCAAAAGTTTTTATCCTAGAAAGAGGCGCCGCAACATCTCAGATAAACATTGTAGTAGCAGGTTTATCGCAAAGTTTATCACTCTGAGCCGCATGCATCAACATCCCCGCCAGATAGGGAATCGCAGTTCAAAAGAAAGCTTCATATCTTAAAGCTCAAGATATCTGGATTTCACGCCCTCTACTTCTTTACCTGTTTGCAAGTATTCCTTCACTATGAACATATTCATTTAGGAGCGAGAAGTGTATGTGTGATCCCTGATGACCCCGGCGGTCAACCGTCTTTTCTTGTAAGTCCCTTTTCAATCTTCAAAGTCAATGAAAACTTCCAAAATTGTATTGATTATTTGATTCTACAATGTCGAACGTGTATCTGATAAGAAAGATCGATGTAGCGAAACAATGAAAATCGCCATGAACCACAAGTCAAAAGTTGGAATTTATCGAAAAGTACGACATTTCAATAACTCGTTGTTTTTATCAGAAACATGCTTGGCACTGTTTGCTTAGATAATTAGTGAACTATGGCATGTTTTCATTGATTTTGAAGAAAGAAAAATGACTTTGAAGAAAAGCGGTTGGCCGCAGGGGATTATCAGGGGATCATACAAAAAATTGGAAACTGCGGCTTTTGCCGCTCCTCTTCAATATCTCCATAGCATTGGTGCGATAAGTGAGAATGACCCCTCCAGGGTAAAGGGGGTCACAGCGATCGCAGCCCTTTGGATAGAAGGTATTTCACTTGGTAGAGAAATTATAAAATGTCGAGAGAGAGGGAGAGGGAGGGGGAGAGAAGATGTTCTCTCATCATTATTCCTAGTCAAAGTTTATGATTTTCAATTCCTTGCTATCACTGGTTGTCTTTTTTCTATGTGAACCGATGTGCTGCTGGATTAGCACACAGCTATGTTTCTGACTAGAACCTTGTATATTCTTTTACATTTTTCCTTTTCCCTTTTTTACATCACCCTGCCTGTGTTTGAAATTACCATAGAAGATGTGCCTGCGAGAACATTTGTTTCGGAAAGAGTTAGACACTTAAGCATTTGCGAATTTTTTGAAAGAAAAATTTGTAATTTCTGTAGATGAACAGCGACATCAGCAAGAAAGTTGTCTTTAAAAACCATCTTTTCTTCCGCTTTTAGATAAGATATAGTTTGCCTGGAGTCTGATGAGGAAGGCTGCCGGGTAAAGGGTGTGAATAGTGATTCCTTATTGTTTACGAGTTTTTAGGATAAAGAATCCGTAACTTCTGTAGATGAACAACTTGTACAAGGAAAACCATCGGAACCGCCTAGTCCTCCGCTTTCAGAAGATATAGAGTTCGCTTAGGGTCCACTGAAAAAAGTGCCGGGTAGAGGGTGGGTGAGACTTGAATACGGGAATTCTCAAGTACTCGTTCTTTTACTATGGTGAAAAAGCCTCCACCTGAGAATTCTCATTATAAGAGTCTATCCTTCACCCGGCACTTTTTTCAACGGAGACGAGGCGGTTCTGACGGTAGCTATTTTCTTGAATTTGTCCATCCCAAAAGTTAGGAATTTTCTTATGTGAAAAAGTGGAAAATTTCCGGAAATCACCAGGCACATCCTTCACCCAAGCACTTTTTTAGACGGATCCCAAACAGTATGTAGAAGTGCTTCTGTGCCAAACAGGTTTGTTGGGTGTTCTTTATTTCCAATCACGGCCTAACGCTTCGTGTTTGGCACAGAAGCACTTCTACTATACGAATTATGCCCAGGTTCAAAGAAAGCAAAACTTTCAAATTATTAGAATCTCAGACACTACATATTTTTTGAAAGCGGAGGATGAGGCGGTTCCAATAATGACTATTTTCTTGTACAAGTTGTTTAACTACAAAATTTATGAATTTGTTTATGTTGAAAATCCGTAAGTGATCACTAGACACACCTTTCACTAGGTACTTCTATGAACGGACTCTAGGAAAACTATTTATTCCCTGAATCCGGAGTAAAGCATTGTAACAGAACTTTTCTCGCTGACTTGCTTTGCAGCTACATGAGCTACTATTTTTTTCCTTTTCGAAGTTCGTGAATGACTATAAATCTTCTTCATCCTTTCCAATACACAAACAATTCCCTACAAAAATCTCCTTTGCTTAACCTTACCTCACTGTTGGTTTTTCCCGGCTTTTGGTGAAGGGGTCGCCTTGGTGTCGATTCAGGGGTGAAGGGAGGGTGAGCAAATTCTCACACTATCGCATCTATGGCGTAAAATCCAGATATCTGGAGCTTTAGAATTTGAAGCTTTTCCATTAAGCTGCGATACCTTCCTCAGCGAGGATGTTAATGCATGCCCCTCAGACAGTCGGTTTGGGGTTCTGGGGAACATCTGGAAAAACTGGATTTTCCCTGCGGTGGGTATCCTACTTAATCCCCCAAGATCTGTTCCCGGAATTTCTTAAAATTTATTTTCCAAAACCCTGCATATTACAGACTCGAATTTACCACAAAGTGAGTCCCTCGAAAACCCTGCACTTCGCACACATGACATACTGTAACTAACCGTAATAAGTCATAAATCCCGATTCTAGTCCAGAAACCCGATCAAAACTATTAGGTTGTCAAGAAAATAATCTCGTTTTTTGTTTGCTTGCTTTAATAAACCAACCAGACTCAACCCAACAAAGGGTAAAGGTACTGTTCGATAGAGCAAAGCAAGCTCTACGAGACGGCCTTCATGATTTTTCGCCAAGCTCGATCCACGGAAAGTTCGAACTCAAAATCTGAAGATTTCCAAATGACCAAAAATCGAAAAAAATCAGATCTTCGTCCAAATAATTTCTACGGACCTTCTACTCGCACACATTAGTACTTCCGATATGTGATACCAGTATGTGCGGTTGCTGTATTTTTTCCTTGACTAGAAACTGAGAAAACGAAAATTTTCGTGATTTTCTAAAAGCAATGCATAGCCGTTCTTGCATGTGTTATTCTATACTACAAGCCTAGATAAGTATAACTGTAGATTTTCAGCCCATTCCGAGCAGTAGTTTTTGAGAAATGCCGCTTTTAGCACTGAATTCAAAACGAAGAAAGCTGATTTCGATATCTCTCGAAAACTACCACTCGGAATGGGCTGAAAATCTACAGTCATACTTACCTAGGCTTGTAGTAAAGAATCACACATGCAAGAACGGCTCAGCATTGCTTTTAGAAAAACACGAAAATTTTCGTTTTCTCAGTTTCAAGGAAAAAATACAGCAACCGCACAACCGGTATCACATATCGGAAGTATTAATGTGTGCGAGTAGGAGGTCCGTAGAAATTATTTGGACGAAGATCTGATTTTTTTCGATTTTTTGGTCATTTGGAAATTTTCAGATTTTGAGTTCGAACTTTCCGTGGATCGAGCTTGGCGAAAAATCATGAAGGCCGTCTCGTAGAGCTTGCTTTGCTCTACCGAACAGTACCTTTACCCTTTGTTGAGTTGAGTCTGGTTGGTTTGTTAAAGCAAGCAAACAAAAAACGACATTCTTTTCTTGACAACCTAATAGCTCAGGTCACTCAGTTCCCGATCAAAACTACTTTCTGAAAATAGGGAACACTATCAGATATAGTATCAAATATTCATAATAAAGGGACCAAAAATAAGTTCTAATTACAATCCCATATAACTGTAGAAATCGGGCAATCACACAAACAGACATAGAGTAGCTATTAGATTGTTGTAAAAATAATGTTCGTTTTGCAAAGTTTTACTTGTCCAATCTTCAATAAATTTTCGTGACCAAGCGCGAGCTGCTTATAATAATATGCAAACGAGAAGAAAACCATACGTCAAAAAACCGGAAGTCTTTTTTTTTTTGAAAATCTCATCCTTGAGAGATTACAACTCCCTCCAAGTTTTGTTGCTGTTATTAATCAGCTTATTGTGTAGACGCAAGCCAGTGATATACCTTTGTACAGGAAAGACTCAACAAGGAGCTGTGCGCAAGAAAAAAAATCAATTTTGTTTATTTTGAGCCTACTTGTGTTAGGCCAGGAAATCCAAAACTATTCGGGTGAATGGTAAAAAATGGGACACCTATAGAATAACTGTAGTGCTTTCAAGAAAGAGAAGTGATTGAAATTCCCAATTTTTAGGTATCGGAATATTCAAACTACACCTACAGTGACCGCCAAAAAGTTGCGGACAAGTTGCACTCCTTTTTTCATTGCTCATTTTCAGATGGAAAACAAATGAAAAAATGCATGCCGTGATAGAGCACATCAAGAGCTACAAAGACATATTAAGCTTTCTGGGAAACATGTATTCTAAGAAATCTAAAATTCTATTTCCAAAAAAAGTCCAATTATGGCCGCGTCACAATGTCACGGACAATAATTAAACGTGAAAATTTTCTTTTAGGTCTTTTCTTGAAACAAAAACAGAAGTTTTCCGGACATGAAAGAATACCATATAGTAGAGCTCATCGAGGACAATCATCGGATAGTGATTACTTCCAAAAAACCCAAGCTTGAGTTTTATTTTGCTTTTTTTGAAAAATAATCTCTAATTTCCTTCTTCAAGCCAAATTTCTTCAGATAGAAACCTATTCAAGACATTTCAACAAAGCTATGTGGATAAATTGGATGCTCTTCGTTGTCCTCTATGCATCGGAGTATGCTGATGAATTTCTTTGCTGAAAATGGCTCTCGACACTCGTGCACAGGACCCCATCTGCCCCTCACCACTGACTTGCACCGTTTGCAGACTTGTAGCTCGGCCTGTCGATCTACTGGCCTGCAAGTAGGTTCATTCGAAAAAGCGTGACCTTCTCGATACGTTCTTACGAGGGTATACAAAAGAGTTGAGTTTGGGATATTCCGGAGTTTTTACGGATGGGATGAAGAAGAACAGCTTCAGTGTTAGGCTAAGGATTTGTCAGCTAGAGTCGAGCAAAGCTCCTTTCGCCACCACTTCCATCCTGGAAGTTCAAAACTGTAAATTTTCTTGTAATAGATCCATTTCGAAGCTCTAAGGCTGTTCTGGTGTTGATAAGAGACTTCA